GGGGAGGCACAAAGAGTTTTCTGACTCAAGCTGATCTGTATTCCACGCTCCAGTTACTGGGAGTAATTGTGATGTTTCAGCTCCATAAATTTTATCCAGAGCGCTAGGTCCATGATGCAAGCGCAGGGTATGCTTGGGACGCCTTATCTTAGAGAACAGAAGAGTCTGGAGAAATTAATGTCTGAACAAGCAAAGATTTGTGAATAGCTTTCTTCCAGCTGAGAACTGACTCAACACTTGTCACTTTTTGCAAAATGGAAAAAAAAAAAGCAAGCATATATTACTAATTTTTGGCTGCCTTTTCATCAAATTAAATTTTCTTTTGGAAACCTTTTTCTTCCACTTGGTTTTAAAATAAACATAGTGGAAAAAAAAAAGCTTAAAACCTCCCCCCAGTAATTACGTACTTAATGCTGATTATGTTGGGCCTGTACTCTCCCTATTTCTTCAGAATAGTTTTGTCCCCTGATCAGTGGGGTCTGGTAAGACTTTTTTCATTATGTTATCCATCCTGCAGCAAGTTCTATACTCAAGTATCTTATAGTTTTGGACACAGTCTACAAATTCCCAGCCCCATCTTCTGCCTCCTCTCTGTCTTTGCTGGAGTTTCTCCTTGCACTGAGCTTTGTGGCTTGTGATATTACCCAGAGAGGTTAACAGCTCATGTTCCTGGGACTCCTCACTTCACTCCCATTTCCATACTCTGTATCCAACAAAGTACGGTTTGGTTTTGGGTTTTTTTAGTATGAAGGGGTTTTTTGTTTGTTTGGGATTTTTTTAATATGAAGGAAATCTGTTCTACATATGTCTATGATCAGAAGCACGCACAGGAATCTGTGCTACTTAATAAAATAGGGAAGGTGTACAGTGGCACCTTAGCCGCTACAAGAGAAGGGAACAAGGAGAACAAGCTAAGGGGCAGTGGTGGGAACACAACTGAGCTCTGCCAGAGGCACTGTCCAGCACCACCTGGCAAACTCCACCTCTTCAGCTCCAGCCAGCACCTTGAGTCACACTTGCAAGAAACAATGACAGACCTAAGGAAAATTGACTTAATTCTCAAAAATTCTTGATTTGTTACACAAAGAATTTCAATTCTGACAAAAAATAAACTAAAACCGGCACAACATGCAGTGGCTCCAAAACAATTCCTGAGACAAAGCAGCACCTACCAAAATTTCAAGATCGTATAAAATTGGAGAAATTGTGTTGAGAAGCAACACTGACACCTGGGTAAAACTTCAAAGTGCCACAACTGGAACCAAGGCAATCTGTTCCCAAACTTAATAAAAAGCTATTATATTGTGATTATCAGAGGCAAATACAATCTCAGCAACACACAGCTCTGGAACATGGGCTGTATTAGCTTTGATTCCCATTTCTGCACTCGGGTCTCTAATGATACTCATTTCAATAGTTTGACTATTAATAATTAACTTAAAATTAAATGTTTTCAGGTTTGAAGATTTGAACATGAAAAAATCTCTCATCAAGTAATAGAATTATTCATCACTGCGTATTTACATAAACATGCACATGTATCAATATATATGCACATATACATACACAATCATGCACACCCTCACTCTTATTTTTTAGTAATTAAATAAGAGTTCCCATGTTGCTGCTACATAGAAGCAAGCAGCAAATGACAGAGAAGAGCAAACACAGGCTGGCATTAGAAAAAAAAAACCAACGAGGCAGCCACATTCCCAGTGAATGCCCCTTTTAAACATCCAGCCCCATCCCAAGTACTGCTGTTCAGAATCGACTTCACAAAAATGCTATTCCAAAAAGGAAGACCAAAATAATTCCGAGTAAGTTAAGGTTCTATGTATAGATACGCATACACGCACAGATTCTTTACCAGGTATCAACGACATTTTAACAGGTATTACACGACTACTTGAAGAGCATGTTTGATACTTCAAAAAAATGACCTACAAACACATAATTTCTGTAATACTCTATCAAACCACATGACTGCTGCAATTTTGAGGTTACAGTGATTGAACTGGTTAAAAAGCCACAGTTAGTACTTCAAAATTGACAGCAAATTTCCTCTTAAGTTGCTTGTGGCCAGTGACAGTGAAAACACAGTAAAACTGTATTTTATAGAATAAAAAGCTAGAATACAAGTAGGATCTGTTACGTTTCACCTAGAGCAATTGCCTAGGAGTTTTTTCTGTTTGTTTCATTTTTGTTGGTATGGATGCCACCAAAAGGAGTTTGCTTAATAAACAGCAGAAAACACTAATAGGAATCTGACTTAAAACGACCTGCTAGGCTTTCTGCAGAAAGCCTTCCCGAAACACAATTAACACACGCGTTCAGTTTACAAAGTGGACAGAGAATCTGCTATAGACAGTGAGAATTCATGTTCCAAATCAAACAACTCCAGACTGGTTCTTTTTCCTCTCAAATGCTATCGAATAGCACAGCTGTTACAAACAGGATATTCAAATCCAAGAAACCAGCAAACACATATTTCTCTGCCACACTTTGGCTGGTATTAAAAACACATATAATGCTTTTGGACCCTCTGCTAAAACTATACCGTATAAGCCATCACCGTTTAAGTCTCAAACCCCAGTGCCTCATATCTCTGAAAAATTCCCATTCAGTATTAACCTAGTATTAACTGCTGTGTAGTTGTTTCATTATGATTACAATCACAACTATCCTCAAACCTCACAGTAACTTTCACAATGAGTTTTAAGAGGGATGTTTTTACACAACAAAATCATCCAGCTAAGTAGACACAGAGATGGTTCTGAATATTTTCCTTTTCTTCATGCCTTCAATCAGTTTGTTATTCCTGGCAGAAGACTCTGTTCCATCACTATTAAACAATGTAATTAAAAGCCTTCTGGCATTTAAATTGAAAGTGAGGAAGTTTAGATTGGATATCAGGAAGAAATTCTTCATGGAGAGGGTGGTGAAGCACTGGCACAGGTTGCCCAGAGAAGCTGTGGATGCCCCTTCCCTGGAAGGGTTCAAGGCCAGGCTGGATGAGGCTTGGAGCAACCTGGTCTAGTGAAAGTGTCCCTGCCTGTGGCAGGGGGGCTGGAACTGGATGGTCTTTAAGGTCCCTTCCAACCCAAACCATTCTGTGATTCTGAGAGGAAAAGGTTCAGAGTTGCTTAAAGCCACCTTCTGATTTCCTCACGGCACCTGTCTCAAGCAGACTTTTCAGTCAAACCACTTGCTACCTACAGCATTGATGTTCAACAAAAATGAAGGGCTTAGAACAATAAAATAGGGGTAATGAAAAAAAAAACCCACACCAACAAAACAAAAAAACCCACAAACAAACAAAAAAACCCCCCAAAAATCTCCAACCAACTAAGATTCGCTTCTGTTGACTCATGCCTGGCAAAAAACCAGCATTAAACAGCAAGCTGTTTATCACAACTTCACCCGCCTTGAGCTGTCTCTTACGAACAATGTAATTGCTTTGAACCTGCTTCCACATCCAAATTACTTGAACTGCTCTACAATGCTTATATTGATTCCACCAGGACTTGATATCAAGCTGACTTAACAGACAAGAAGCTTAATTCTTCTTAGGACAACCTATGTACAAAGCAACAAAGAGGAAGAAAGATGCTTCTCCTCTCCATTTGCAGAACAAACAACTTTCCTCCCTTGCATTTCTACCACGGTTTCTCAGGCATGGTTATTCCCTGTGTTTAAGAGTTCTGAAAAAGTTAGGATAGCCCTTTACAAATACCTCCAAATCTTAAGGAACACAGATGATCACTTTGCTATCACATGCCATCTTCCATCTATAGATTAAATCCCAGATGGCTGTACAAAAAGAGTGTAAAGGCACAAACAAACAAAGAAATTTAAACCTAAGAGTATTAAAAATCCCATAGGCTTGAATCACCTAAATATTTTACCAAGTGGTACTAGAAGTAAGCCATTTGAAAGAAAACAAACAGGAAGGGGTTTCATCAGGGAGGCTTAAACATATTTTGCCTTGTTTAATTTTAATTTTTGTAGCTAGAAGGTGTTTTTCTGCTTTCACTACTATGAGTAAAGCTCACAAATGTCCCACATAATGTTGCTGTTATAGTGTGAGTTCTTGGAAGAAGCAATTCCTACAGAAAACAAAGCAATTATGCTCCTTTTCTTAAACAAAAGAGTTAAGAATATTGAAAATACCTTCACTTTGGTCCATCACAATGCGACAAAAAACAGGTGGGAGAAAAGAGCGAAAAGAAGATATCCTGCTAGAATTTGCCCTATGTCTAACCTTCCCTTGAAGGCCATCGTTCTTTCCTGCACAACAAAAAAAACCCATAAATAGCCCAAGACTAACAACAGGAGAACACTAGGACAAGTTTGTGAAAGCAGACTTCTTTAAGCAAATTCTGGCCCCAACTCTCTTCCTTCAAGGTGACAGAGGGCATCTTCTATGCATATTCATGGTGAGTCCCAAAGCTGAGCAGCCTCCACGCGACAACACAGCATCCTACTTCTTACACACAGGAAGCACTGACATTGTAATCTTGAAAAGGTCACATTCCTTTCATATCACCCATAAGTAAAGCTAAGGGTGCACCATTATAAAGTTAAGAACCCACGAATGCATGGGCTTTTATAGGGCTAAGTTACAATTCACCAACTGCGCCATCACGTCAGTTATGCCGTAATTCCACAAACTTGTTTTGAACACAACGTTTTTCAAACAAAAATGACGAACAGTACACTTTGCTTTACATACTCAAGAGTTCAGCATGTGCTCTTTGAATGACAAAACACTCAGACAGTAAACACGCTGCCAAAAGTGACAAGCTGGTCCTGATCACCTAACAGCTCTGTGTTGTGGGTTTTCTTGTCCTTTCAGAAAAGAAATACTACTGTATTTTCTTGAACAAGCTCTACCATACCAAATGCATGCCCCGTGTGTCGAAAGAGACGTGACAACTTATAACACAAATGTATTTTCTGCACTTTCTTTTGTATCAGACTTAGAAGACGACGAAGTGTACCTGTGTTCCGTGAGAACGTTTACTGCTGATGGATGGTTGGCACAGTATGCAAGGTATAAGCTTTTCATTTGTGGCATCAAATTTAGAAAACATCCTCCAACCCTCTGCTGGGCTTCAGGCAACCTGAGAACAGAGTAGTGAAGATGAAATTACTCCAATATCAACACAGAAATAAGTTTAAGCCTCAAAACATAATGCATAATGGTGTTTTTGTTTATTTCTGTTGTCACTTTGTTTTGTTTTATAAAAATCAACAGACAGGTTTCTATGGTCACTGACCAGCAACCAAACAGCCTTCTCCTCCTTCTTTACAGCTTCAACCCCCCTAACTGTCAGGCCTGATTATGCCACAACAGTATCAGCAGAATATGGCACACACCTGTTAAGACACTCAGCAAAATTTTTTCGGGAATTAGCGTTAATTAGCACCCATTTTGGGAGTTTGGTTTTTAGTCAACGTACCTATTGGTTAGAACAGTTTGCTGTCCACTTATATATACCGTGCCAAACCTTAAAAAGCACTGTTTCAGCACTTAAACAAATACTGGATGGAGTAGCAACAGGATTCTCTCCCTCTGGCCTACACCAGAGATGATAGGCTTAAAATATTCATGAAAAGATCCAAATACCATACTGAGCTCCTACAGGATAAATAGAAGCCAGTTACAGGGCAGTAACAACCCATTTTAAGCAATTGTCACTCGTCTTACATTTCAGGGACCATAAAGCACTTTTGCCCCGGTTATGAACCAACGTAAGAGCGCTGCTTTACCACTCTCAGTACAGGAATACTCTCTAACTCATACTTTCTTCATCTTTCATGCTCAAATGGATCACGTTTGCTAAGCAGCGAAGGAAAATTTCACAACTGTGTTCAGAAGAGCTTCTTTTGCCTAGCATATAAAGGTCATTAAATGACAGCAACCTCGGTGACTTTGGCAAAGAAGATGACTGAGTAGGAGAAACAGTATTGAGAAAAGCTTACTTCCCCACAGTCCTGGTGAACCTAATCTGTTTTGATCAGGTTTGTCAGGCACATTTATTCACTTGAGTTAGAGGGGACAGGATATGAAGATAGATAATCTGAAGATAACTGTGTTTTTCGGAAGGTTTTAGCAGAAACTGTCATCTCAAAATGCATTAAGGAAATATGTGGACTATAAATATCTGAAAATGGCTGTGTGGCACCAGCTTAGAACCGGTACAATCAGGAGGAAAGTAAAAGTCTGACTTCTGATTTTGCATCTGTATAAACAAGGGAAAAAACCCTGCAACTCCTCCAGTCTTATTCTTAGAATCTCCTTAAGCTGCATTCTTCAGATGCAAATAAAAGCACTCTCAAACCTTAAAATCTACAAAAATTTTCCAGTTAAATACAAACTGATGGGAAGAAGTATATACTCTAACCAGCCATGCTCCCTCACTGCCACCATAACCCCGTTCTCAGAACCACTCAGAAATACCCATACTGTATTGCTTCCGACAGAAGGGAGAGTAAGCTGGACTAACAAGTGAGTGATACCGTAAGGGTGCCGGGAGGGATAAAACCCTGTTTTCTACAGAGCAAATTCCACTGGAAGGACTAAACCTCTTCAGCAGCAGGTTATGTGGCCAGTGGCTGACTGTACAACCCACACTTAACACTGAAGTTAACCCGAAGATGGGGACACTAAGTTTCAGCAGTCCTAAGCTACAAGCTTGTCCCCAGCGCCTTGTCATAACCCACTGTACAACATGCACAGGAAGATTAAGTGTTACAGTTTCTCCATGCTTCCTCTCCTTGCATATAGGGTGCGACTCCTAACAAATACTCTGAGTCTTTGCTTCACTGTTTGCCTTCTCTTGCAAGCAGGCTGGATTTTGTTGTTGTTATCCATTTAACTACTCTTAAAACCAGTATTCCACAATGCTCTAAAGCTAGGTGAATCCTCAGTAAGTACTCAATAGACAGCACAGTCAAACGGTTTAAGTCTAACATTAGCTCCAACAATTGTCTCTGGAAAAATATTGGGTTTATTTATTGATTTACAGGGGTTTTTTTTCTTCCTAAGTCAAGATTTTCTGTAATTGTCCTGTGCATAAAGCCTCTAAACTTTGATATTTAGCATATTCCCTCTGAAAAAGTGAGAGATATTGCAGTGAACTCCAGCAGAACTCTTCAGCTTTCCAGAACAGCCGCTCCTCCAGGCAGGGGATGTTCCCACCCTGCTCACACACAGTCCTCTTGTCCCACTCCTTGGGCTTGCTCATAACAGCTAAAAAAAGTAAAACAATCAACATTCATCCCAAGCTGCACCCAAGAAATATTCCCCCAAATTTTAAAACAGGAAGGCTGTCTCCTGCTGAGCTGTTCAGTCCCTCTGTGCAGCGTGGGAAGACTTACCCAATATGAAGTCAAAACTGACCGTACGGGTGTTCAAAACACAAGGCGGGGGAAACACGCTGCCTTATTTGACAGGCAGCCTCACTACAGACACCCAGAAAATGACATGGGGATCCCCAGTTAGCACATCATGCATCATACATACACTCCAGTCACAGTACCAGCGTCCCTTACATTAAAGGCTAGGGCCCATGTCTGCATCTTTATGCCTCTTTCAAGAGAAGTTTAAGTTCTGGTATCCACAGAGTGGCTGCTTTTGCAGGTATCCAGGGGAAAACCAGGGGCGTTCCCCAGTGTACCGCACGAATGCTATTCCTGCAGCCTTCCAAGCAGCATGTCCTGCCTAGCAGCTGCTCCCCTTTAATAAATCTAGGCATGAGCTAATGATACATTCCGCACGCATAAGGCATATAACTCAGTATGAAATATTAAGAGGGCCCAATAATCAGTTGCTGAAAATGGCTAAATTGTCTTTTCATACTGTAGCGCTGGGGGGGAGTGGGGAGGGAGGCGCGGGGAGAGCGAGTTACAGCTGTTGGCACCAAGCGGACATCTGCGTCTTCTCAGTCTGCTGCTCTTTTAGCAGCATGAAAGACTGATATTATTCCCTTTTACACGTTGCACATGCATTGCCACTTTATACTGTACGTTCTTTGTTGAATTAAGATAATTAACAGATTTGATAAGAGGGTGGCAACTTTGACTTTTGACTTTTCTAATCCATGCATTAGTTGCAAGTGTTCTCCTATTTTTAGAGGAACAATTAATAAGTTATCTAGATCTCCTTTAACTGCTGAAAAAGCAGCAATTTAAAGCCTATCACCATATCATATAAACCTTTTAGTAACATATCCAGTAAAAAGCATTGTTATTTTACAATTTATTCTGAATTTGTCATCCCAGTATTCTTCTCCTATTTGAGACTTCAACTGAACAGGATTCACACATTACATTTATACATATACACCAACGATGATAACCTCGGTTATAAAAAGGCCAAAGATATGTTCTAATTTCATTTACTGAGTAAGAGAACCATAACAAAGTCTCTGCTGTTGTACACACACGCTAGAGGCATCGCCATCCGACTACATCTAACTACCTAACAGCTTACCTGCTTGTTGGAGTTACATCCAACAGCTATCGGTTCATTTTCTCAGGACTTTAAATGCGTTTCCATCACGTGATAATTTGAGAAGAAAAAGAAAATATCTTGTTGCTCCATCGCACTTTAAGATTCTGATCAAAACCAGAGATAAGAGCTGGACTAAAGCTGGACTGGCAGCCAAAAGAGAGAGTATTATGGAATATTATTATTATGTCCTGCATCTTTTGAAGAAATCCAGCTTAGTTTTGCTGTCAGTTGACATTACAACCTTCTGGGAAAGGCTTTGGAAACTGGGATGAATCCACACAAGTTTAAACACACACTAACAGACGCAATTCTAAAAGAAAAGTAGGTAACAAAGTGTAATCAGCAATGTATGTTTTCTTTTTGCAAGAAGAGATCAGATGTTCCTAAGTTTCACTTGACACTGTGGTTATATATACATATGTACGTATGTACGTACGTATGTAATGGGGGTCTCTCCTGTAGAACCTGCCCCAAACTGGAAGCTTTCAATTTTCTGCGTGGCATTTTATGCTCTTCCCCATCTCCTCCCACAGAAAGGTGGACAGCAGAATTTCTTTCCCCTTTCTCAGCCTCTTTGGAGGAGCCAGAGCACCAGTGATAAGTTTGCTATGTTTACAGGAGGTCAGTACAGAGAATGTCTTGAACTTAAAAGCTGATAGCAGAGAGGATCCAGGACAAGTGAAGGTCTGCAAATATTAAGGTATAATTGTGATTAATGACTTCAAGGGATGCAGTTTGTGAAGAAGCACAAGATCAGGTGTTCTATCCTGAGGCTCCACAGTTAACAGCATTACTGAAATTAAGGGGACCCTTCGCAATTGCCTGAGCTACTCTTTTCAGTGCCCTCCCCGCTCTTC